TTGAGCCGCCGTCTTGGTTGGGGGGCGGTCATCTTTAAGTAGTTTACCTAGTACCCAGGTTGCGTAGCGTGCGTGTTTGTAGATAGTGAGCGGCCTGCCATCGAGCACTGCTATATAAATTGTTGATAAAATAAAAAAAAAATAAAAAAATGAACTGGTGGGGTGGAGTAAGTAATGGAAGGAGGGATTAGGGTCAGTGACACACTATGCTGGGTCTCCCACTGCTCAGGTCTCCCTTGTGGTCCTTCTCTCCATCCAGCTCTTCCATAACCCTTATTGGAGGGCATGGGCATGGAGATGTTGGACCTGACATTGATCTGTAGAGGCGGTCATTGAGTTGTTGGAGCTGACATTGAGTTGTGGGGGACTGACATTGAGCCATGAGAGAGCAGCTTCCAGTTACTGTGGCCGATGTTGAATCAGCAGACCAGCAATGAGACATGGGGCCTATTATCAACTTGTGTGATGCAACAGAGAACTAGCAGGTGAGTAAGGAAGAGTGGAAGAAGAGGTAGTCAGTCACTCACTGCGTTGGGTGTTCAGTCTCCGGCTACTCAGGTCTCCAGTTACTTGGGTCTCCCTTTGTTTTCCTCCTCCTCCATTCAGCCCTTCAAAATGTGCCCTGACCCTCATTGGAAGGCACAGGTGCATGGTGTAGGTATCTATAGTAGAAGAGGGAGAGGAGGAATGGTGATAGTAGCAGCAGAAGAAAGAAAGTGATGATGTAGCATGCAATTATGGCCAGCACAAGTCACCTGATCATTTACCTCTATAGCAATGTTACTGTCTACAAATGACATAGTATTCACATACTCTACATTATATTTATGGGTACTGTATTTTTCTCCTGTATTTTACATGAATTACACAAGTTATTTCATGAGAATTGAATAAGAATTGACAGAGATATGGAATTTGCAAGATGAGGCGAGTGGCTGTGGTGGCTTTGTTTGTTTAGCCAAACATATGATGCACGAAAACTCTCCAGGAGTTTTCGTGCATCATAGCTGTCAAACTCTGCTCACATGACCTAGCAAGTCACATGTTCTTCTACTACAGAAACAGTGTCTCTATATCTCTGCAACAGCTGCAGCTACAGCTCTGAAATTTTATACACTATGAGACGATATTCAGAGAAGCTTACATAATAAATTTCAGATTTTCAGGGGTGCTGTGGCATGAGATATTGCATGTTTTAAATGCAGAAAACCCGCACCTCCATATCTCAACACCTACTTATGCTACAGGTCTATAATTTTGAGGCCAACATCACCTATATTATATCTACTTGTGTACAAATTTTCAGGTCTGTTGATGTTCTTGATGCCAAGATATTGTGATATGTGCATTGTTTTAAATGCAAAAAACCTGCACCTCTATATCTCAACAGCTACAGATGCTACACATCTATAATTTTGAGGCTATTATCAATCATATTATATCTCTATATCTCAATACCTACTAATACTACAGGTCTATAAATTTGAGGCTATTATCAACCATATTAGATATACATCTGTACCAACTTTCAGGTCTGTCAATAATCCAAGTGCCAAGATATTGCAATATGTGCATTTTTGGGTTTTTTGGTGCAAACCAGTAATTTAAATATGCAGCCATGAATAATCAATGTGCATCTATGAACTCTACATTTGCTAAAGACCTTCTGTATCCTATATAATGCTGCCAAGGTGTTCCAGTGCTCTGGTCCTTGCCAGGGGTACACATTTGAGTGCACATTTTCAGCTATTTTTAGAAATCAGCACTATTTAGTCAATTGTGCACACAATTCTGTGCACGATACTGATATTTGGGGACCAATGTAACTGAACATTATGACTCCTCATTAATGCAGATTTGTTTTAGCTAGGGGATGTCTGAGAGAGAGGCCAGTGAAGCCACATTTTCATATTTTTAGGGGTGTGAAGCATTAATTTGACTGTAGATCTACCAAATCCTGGAATTTTCCCATGTTCAAGACCTCTACTGAGAGTTATGAATATTTCATGATTTATGATATTTTTAAATTAAAATTAAAATGGCCCAGAAATAATTGAAATATGCCAGCATTTGTCACAATCCATCCCCTGCTCCTGGGTTGATTATGCAACTTCCAAGGCTGTTATCTGGCTTCCAAGGCTCATGGTATTGAGCTGTGCACTTTTCAGATGCTTCTTAGACATCCAGGAATGAGCTCTGAGCTTCCAGAATGCTTCCAACATGTGCCATGTCTCTAGCTCACCCCATTGTGCCTCCAAGCCATTGTTCTATTGTTCTCCATTGTTCTTATTTATTGTCTTGGCTGAGTTATCTATTACATAATCATAGTATGTTATTCTACATGGCATAAATACCCATGTACAGTAGTTTATTCCTCAGTCAGAATATCAAACTTGCCCCATTGCTTAGAGTGCAGAAGAATTAATAAAAGAATAAATGGGACAGCTAAAGATATGAGACAAAAATGAACTCATAATTGCCATGCAAAGCAATGGCCCACAATACCAAGTATAACTGGCCATGCGCCCATTGGAGTGTATTACCGTCGCTTCAAGATTAATGAGCCTCATGGCTGCACTTGTGGGGCTGCGCTGCAGTCTTGCCAGCACGTCCTCTTTCGCTGCCGCGATTGATACTCTGTACATTATCCCCGCTTCCTCAGGGATATTGCATCGTTTTTGAAGCACAACCCTACGGCGTTTGGCTTCAACCGAGACCCCTCCAGTGTCGGATAATTGTTGAGGGCGGGGTTATCCCTCCTTTTGGGGGATTTCCTGTGCCATCTTCACTTATTCGCGCTTCCAGCCCGCTATTACAGTGGGTTGTGGCACCGCTAACTTTCTGCATCTGGTCTCGGGCAGGCGCATCTCTGGCTTGTCGGCCTTAAGACACCCTGCCACCTCCTGGGTGGTGCTTTTCTTATTTCATTCGCGCTGCGTGGCCCCCGAACAGCGTCCGACGACTATGGGGCGTAGCGGGACCTTGATGGTCTCCTCCCCTTATCCCGATGCACCGTTTTCGCGAGATGGGTTGCCCTCCAGGAAGTTTCGACGTATACACCAGAAGGGTCTTGGTTGGGGGAGTGGACGTCTTTAAGTAGTTTGCCTAGTAACTGGGTCGTGTAGCATATGTGTTTTGTAGATAGCGAGCGGGCTGCCATTGAGCACCGCTATATAAATTGTTGATAAAAAAAAAAAAAAAAAAAAAAAAAAACCAAGTCTAAGAAGTGTTATGGTGCTGAGGGTGCTCATCTGTTGAGTTGACAGTTGAACTCTGTTGACGAGGTGTAGCCAAGGATTCTAAACCAACTGCATAAGAGCCCAACATATGAAAAATCTGGAAGAAGAGCACACCTTTAGCCTGTTGAGCAACTTGAAGTTGATGCTGTATTTCACATTCTCATGCCAGCCTCCTCTGCTCCTGTTCCTGAATCTTTAATCAAAGTTTTTGGGGCACGTTGTGATGCATGGACTATAGCATGGAGGTGACAGGTAAAAAATGGATAGCAAGAGAGAGTCTGAGGAGTGTTTCATTTGTCTTGCTGGCTAGACCTAGGGCAAGGTTAGGGTCATCTCTGCGGTTGCAGTGATGCAATTGAATGAGTATGAGTTGGTGGTTATCATACAATCAAGTGTTGAGATGACTTGTGTGAACCAGAAGGCCAGCAAAGTTCGAGGGCAAAGTGATGGTTTGCAACAGAACAGGAATTCCCAGCCTGAGTGACAGCCAACGATCCCCTTGCCCCGTCTTATCTTATCCGGCTTCTCAGCCAGAAGAGAACTCAAAGTACTTCGACTCAAGGAGGCATTGACAATCACAAACAGGCTTAAAGTTACAAGAAATATAATACAGATTGGCATGATAGATATGGTGCTTTATTTCAGTCATCTCCTGTTAAATCAATAATGTCATCTTTGCCTTCATCAAGGGTGAGATTGATGACACTATTGCAGTTGCTCTGATTGCCTGTCGTTCAACCAACATCTAACCAGTTACGCAATTCTTCATCAGCCATGAGCGCATCAACCTTCAGGTCACCAGGATCAGCAGCATCATTGTTGTCGTCCGAAGACTCAATCTCAATGACTTCTGACACAAGGGAGTCAAGGGTTTGCGTAGACGGGCCTTCACCCTTGGGGTTCTGGTTCAGATGCTGGGACACATGGTCTTAATCTCTGCACTACACTGAGGAAATTAGTACATACCTTTCAGCAACGCTTCTGAGGCAACGAAGCTTTCTTTGTCCCTCTGGATCAGTGTTTGCATATCCTGTTGGTCTTGCGGAGATGTAGTGAGCAGTCTGAAAACATAAGCAGAAATTACACTTACTTTTTGACCACTATGACTTACGGATGTTCCTCCTGTTTGGGAAGCAGGGCCCAAAACAAGAAGATTAGGTGGCAGGAGGGGTGCCAGGACCCACATCTTGATAACGTCAGTGTCTTTTCCAATGAAATTGCTGCTCATCAAAGAGACAAGGTTGGAAGTTGATACGGTAAGCTTTGGCTGCCGGCCATCATTGACAGTGGAGGCATAGTGGCCCCGCTGCACCTCCATGGAGGCGTTGAGAATCTCGACATGCGCTGTCGGTGTCCAGATTGAATGACTGCTCGCATCAAACATGGACAGCGGCTATATTCAAATTTGATGTCAGACGTCAGAACATGGAAGGAGAAGGATAAGCACCGAGCAAATCATTTGTAGAATGACCCCTTCCCAAACTGTATTTGAAAACTTATCTCAGAGTTTTGCCTCCTTTCTCAATTGAAAGTTGACCTGGCAAAATTGGGCAAGGTTGAAGATGGATACCTCGCATGACATCCACGATGTCGTATCAGGAGCCTGATGATGGGGTGGCTCTGACCAGGAGGTAGTGGGACGAAGGTAGAGGTTGAGTACTTCTCAGTCAGGAAAATTGTCAAGGATATTGTCGGCAACATGTGGCTGGTGGCTACTCATCTGGCCTAGGGAGTTTGTCCTGAGTTCGTCTTGCATAGCGACCCGCCATTCCACAAGGAATTCGGTGAAGGCATCCCCCTGCATAGAAGAAGCAGCATCAATCAATGGATCTCTGAAACCACACTTTACCATGGCCTGAGTGATGGCAGGGCCGCAATCCATTACACCTGCACTGTAGTCACCACCAGATAGCAATGCAAAGAGTTCAAAGCTTCCGTGCGGGAAGCCGGCATCTGCGAGGGCAGCTGATGTGTACACCTCATATTCGTCATCGAAGTTCTTCTCCTTGTTCCAAATGCTATTCATGATTTGAATGATGACCACTGAGCTACAACACATGTATTGAAATAACAATGGGGCTCACGTTCGAAGCACTAGATTGGCTCCAAAGACAATTGCATCGACGTCGCTCATGATGACGCTGTCAATGTAGCCTTCTTGATTGAGTCTTGCCAGCTCTGCCAGCCAATACAGCTAGTGAAGCGTTTCAAACTGGGGAACTCCCCAGAATGCTGGATGCATCAGGGTGGGGAGTTGCCCATCTATGGACCCCAGACCACCCCCTGCTGCTGGGGAGGGCTGGGGATGACCGTTTCAGTGATGGAAAAGGTTTGGGAGGGGTTTGATGAGACCCAGGGACTGTTCTGCATCCTTTCCAGGACAATCTGGTATGGGGGAGGAGGTGAATTGGCCCATATGGGGTGCCACATTACCTTGGCAGTGCACTTTTTTTAGATCCACAGCTATTTTTAATTTGACAGCCCATGACATCAGAGAATGATGTCACTGATGCAATCCATCAATTCTTGATGTCCTCGCCTCAGAGAATCCGCCTTCCAGCTGTGGCTGTGCTCATTCCCAATGCGGACATAGGGGGATCAAAATAGGCTCTGCTGGCCTCATCCATGGCTTATTTCATTACACCACACCTCTGAATGGACGAAACAATTATGCGATAATATTATACATAATTTTAGCTTTCTGTAGATGCCAAGAACATCAGGAGAGACCTATTTTTGGTAAAGATATGTTGCAAACAGTGGTTTATACACCAAAAATGCGAAAATGCACACCAAATGTGCCCCCTCTCATGCCCCCCTGACTCAAATAATCTATGTGATAATATAGGGTAGTGTATTACCTTTAATTTGACTGCTTAAAATTGGTTTTGCAGGCAGTATTGACTATGCTATTCCCTTATAGAGCGCATTTTCTAAAAATAGCAAAGAAGCGCACTCAATTCTCTACCATTTTCAGGCATCCAATCCTTGGGGCAGGTCAGCGATTCAATATATAATATATAGAGCTTTCAAACGAGCCCTCCCGCATGTCCACGCGCTCAGTATTGCAGCTGATATTACAGGATTACCCCTCATGCATGGCAATTTATTGATGAGATTCCGAGCAGTAGGTGGAAAGATATGCAAAAGGTTATCATGATGACAGCAATAGCATCAACATGCTGTCACAACTCTTTTATCCAAGTGGTGCTTTTGGAATTCTCTTTGCATATCTTTCCACCTACTGCTCGGAATCTCATCAATAAATTGCCATGCATGAGGGGTAATCCTGTAATATCAGCTGCAATACTGAGCGCGTGGACATGCGGGAGGGCTCGTTTGAAAGCTCTATATATTATATATTGAATCGCTGACCTGCCCCAAGGATTGGATGCCTGAAAATGGTAGAGAATTGAGTGCGCTTCTTTGCTATTTTTAGAAAATGCGCTCTATAAGGGAATAGCATAGTCAATACTGCCTGCAAAACCAATTTTAAGCAGTCAAATTAAAGGTAATACACTACCCTATATTATCACATAGATTATTTGAGTCAGGGGGGCATGAGAGGGGGCACATTTGGTGTGCATTTTCGCATTTTTGGTGTATAAACCACTGTTTGCAACATATCTTTACCAAAAATAGGTCTCTCCTGATGTTCTTGGCATCTACAGAAAGCTAAAATTATGTATAATATTATCGCATAATTGTTTCGTCCATTCAGAGGTGTGGTGTAATGAAATAAGCCATGGATGAGGCCAGCAGAGCCTATTTTGATCCCCCTATGTCCGCATTGGGAATGAGCACAGCCACAGCTGGAAGGCGGATTCTCTGAGGCGAGGACATCAAGAATTGATGGATTGCATCAGTGACATCATTCTCTGATGTCATGGGCTGTCAAATTAAAAATAGCTGTGGATCTAAAAAAAGTGCACTGCCAAGGTAATGTGGCACCCCATATGGGCCAATTCACCTCCTCCCCCATACCAGATTGTCCTGGAAAGGATGCAGAACAGTCCCTGGGTCTCATCAAACCCCTCCCAAACCTTTTCCATCACTGAAACGGTCATCCCCAGCCCTCCCCAGCAGCAGGGGGTGGTCTGGGGTCCATAGATGGGCAACTCCCCACCCTGATGCATCCAGCATTCTGGGGAGTTCCCCAGTTTAAAATGTTTCAGCTAGCAGATATTGGTGGCTCCGCTTCCCCTTTGCCAGGTGCCTACCGCACTTCAGATGCGGAATACAAAAAGAGGATGTTTTTTGCACCTGATGGACTTGAAATCCAAAATATCGGATCAAGTCCTTTGCATCCTCGAGCCACCATGGCTTCTGGTCAGCACGGACTTCATGGCCTCGTTTGAAGGCAGGCCGGTTGGGTCCATCAAAAATGAACACCAGAAAAACTGGTGTTCATAGAAAGGCTGCAAGCTTGTTGAAGAAAATGTAGAGGCCACCTCCCGGGAGTTGGTTGTATATCCCAGGTTTCCGTGTAGCGCCGATGCAGTCAGGGATGCACGGACTAGACTACAAGTTAGCACGACAAATGTACAGCCTCTACATAGGGACTACGTACCCCATATCAATGCCGAGATGTAGCCTATGGTCACCGTGTCCATTGTTTTGTGTGTCGGCCTGTGCCTTGTGCTCAATGGCAAGGGAGAGCAGGGTCTTGCGCTCGGCTGTGTGAGAAATCATCTACAAGCGCCTGGCACTCATCAGTCTCATGGCTCATTCGTTATGTGTAGTCCGTTCTCACCTGCCATAGCCCTTGAACGCCCATAGCGAGCAAGATGCAATGTGGGTGCAGGAGTCAAAGCCTCAGCCTAGCAGCCACTGAGACATTTTCGCGGTTGAAACATCTGCGGTGGTGGCTTGCATTCGCTCGTTCAGGGCTCGTTGCTCATGGCGGCTCTTCGCGCTTAGTCAGTGGGTTGTGTTCGTGTTCGTGATGAGACGTGGCATTGTTATCCTACCAGGCACCACAGGCTTCGAATTCCCCTTCGCCCTCGGCCAGCGCCGTGGTGGAAGAGCGCCCTAGGACTGCTCCATGTCATCGGTGATGTCAGCTCACGGGACGCACGTGTACTCTCCCACAGCCTTCGGTTGCGGTCAGTCCTCGTTGGGTTCCTTCGGTCTTGTCGGTTCCTCGACCAATTCTTGTCCCAATTCAGAAACCCCTTGGGATGGCAAAGCTGCCTAACGATATGAAATATGCAGGTCACATGACTGTGAGAAATTTCCTTTTTAGGAGAAAATAATTGCAATAAATGATGATCCTGAATCTACTTGAGTGATGGTACTCGTTCCCATGGAAAGTGTTCGCAATCTTGAGTTCACTCACTTTCCAAAGACAAAACCATTTCATTTTCTATGTAGAGTATTTTCATTTGGGACAACTACAAAAGGCACCATTCCAACATCGGACTTGCAGTGTGAAAGAGACGCAAGACCCGAAAGGACCAAAAATTCCACTTATGGGTTTACCTTCCGGTCATGCGGTTCCTCTCAAAAAATTATCAATGGAAGAGCATGTTGACATAATGTGATTGGAAATTAAATTGGCGTCAATTGGTGTTCTGGTTTCAGTTCTGTGGCTGCCTGAAGTTGGTCATTTTGGTCAATTTCACTGTGAGATGATGGCTTGCTTGCCAAATGTCACCCACTTGCGACGCTGATTGCAGCGCAATTTGCTCTCCACTTTCTTCAAATAATTTTTTTTTGACTATGTCTTGTCCATCATATTCAGCATTTGGAGAGTCCAACAGCTCAAGCAATTTTAGAAAAATGTCGGAAATTACAAAAATGCTGAAAAAACTCGCATATCCCCACCTTCCAAGCTGAAGGTCCACTGCACTCAACAAACATGAACAGTTAGGCATGAATAAGATTTTCATAATTCAGATCAGCCAGTGCTACATTTAGAAAGAGTTGAACATAAATCGCAAACACTTTCCGTGGACCCAAGTATTTAGCTCTATTAATGACAAGATATAAGCCAAATAATGCCAAATTTTGCAAAAGTAATCTACTTCTTCAGTATTTTGCATTTTTCTTGCCAAGCAGAGCAGCTAATGACATCAAATAACTTGATTCAGGGTCAACCAAAGGTGCTCTACAAATCCTGATGCATTTTCCTAAAAAGAATGATTATTAAGCATCTTGTTGCATACTCTATATGCTGGACTTGGGCAATTGCTCAACAGACTATTATCTATTCTGATGTGTAATAGGTACTGGGTAGTAGTCCATTTTGATACATATACTGGAGTCCAGTGGAGTCCAGTAAGACTCCAGTAAGACTCCAGTATCACACTCCAGTATCACACTCCAGTAGAGTCCAGTATACTTTCTTACTGGACTCCACTGAACTCCACTGAACTCCACTATACCTTCTTACTGGAGTCCACTGGAGTCCACTGAACTCCAGTATAATTCCACTGGACTCCACTGGACTCCACTGGATAATATGCCAACTCCAGTGGACTCCAGTGGAGTTCTATAGCACTCTGTGAAGGACCACAAAGTACTGCCCAAACTCAATGCTACCAACTATAACACTTGGAAACAGGACATGACTGCCTCAGGCGGTTCCGTGCTGCTGGTTTGTGGCACATTGTTGATGGGAAGCAATCTGCACCTGTCCTTGCTTCTTCTGCCACTGGAGCAGATTTGATTGCAGAAGATGCATGGTTGATCAAGGTGGATCGTGCTGCTGGCACTTTAGCCCTCTCTGTTGAAGAAGAGCAGTGCATTCACTTTAATGGTATTGATGATGATCCTGTCAAGATGTGGAAGGCTTTGCAAGATGTGTTTGTCCAAAGATGTCCTGGTACCCACTTTGATGCTTATGACAACCTCTTCTCCATCCAGAAGAAGGAGGGCGAGTCCTTGCAGTCTCTCATGAATCATGTCGATGAAGCTATCCACTGTATCAAGGAGCTTCATGACAAGGATTTCACTCTCGCCAAGCTTGATGATGAGTTGAACTGCATGGCACTCATTTGTGCCCTTTCTGAGGAGTACCAATCTTTTGTCTCCTCACTTCATCTGATGGAAAAGCTGGACAAGGATGCTGTCAAGCTTGCCTTTGTCGCTGAGGAAAGTCATCGCAATCACCGTGCTGCTACTGCTGCTGCAGTTGGTACAGCGCTTTCTGCCTCTACTTCTTTGCCCTCTCATCCTGTTCATTGCACTTTCTGTGGCCAGACTGGTCATGTCATTGAAAAGTGCTATGCCTATGCAGATGCATCTGCTAAGGCCAAGGACAGAGCAAAGAACAAGGGCAAAGTGAAGGCAAACAAGGCCCAGGAGGTTCCAGATGACAAGAAGGAAGTTGTTGAATTTGCTGGAAATGCAAGTGTTCTTTTTACTTTTGATCCTTCCAATCCATCCACCCCATTGCAAATGGATGCTGACTTTGATTGGGTTGCAGACACAGGGGCCACTTCTCATATGACCTCTCATTGTCACTGGATACCCAATTATGCTTCCCTCTGCATCCCAGTCAAGTTAGCTGACAACAGCATTATTTATTCTGCCAGAGTGGGTACTGTGGTTTTCAACCCAGTTGTAAATGGAAAGAAGGTTTGATCTGTAGAATTAACTTGTGTCTTGCATGTACCCCAACTCTGAAATAATTTATTGGCCTGTCTCTATCTCACACGTCACAAGGGCTTTGACATTCATATTGGCAGAACTCATATGAATTTCAAGTGTAATGGACAGATCTTGTTCCAAGCACCCATCCTGTCCAATAACAGTGCCCAGTTGAATGGAGTCACAGAGCCTATTGAGGAGTCAGCAAATCACATCTCCTGTAGTTTCCTCTCCCCCTGCCCTACCAAGTTGGATCCATGCTAGTTTATATCAAGTCCCACTTTACTATATGTCCATCCAAGTTGGTCCAAGTTGAATCCAAGTTGAATCCAAGTTGGATTTAACTTCTTATAATATATTAAAAAGAAAAAGAGGATCCTGACAGAGTTTTGCATTTTGGCTGGTCCACCAGGTTGGCATGTGACCACCCAATTTAGACAGACTCTTATATAATAATTGAAAATCTCCAACTTGGAATCTCCCCCCTCTAAAATTAAAAGTAAATATCTAGAAGATGTTCAAGTTGGATGCAAGTTGAATCCCAGTTGAGCACAATACTTGACCTTGTCTCATATAGTCCGGTCAGACTCCATTGGAGTCTCAGTAGTATTTAAGGTGTGGCTTGTCATACTATCTGTTAGAGGTTTAGCCCTCATCTTTTTCTGTTAGGGTTAGAGTTGGGTTAGCTTAGAATTAGAGTTGCAGATATATTATTGTGCATGCAGCAGATTATTGGCATTTTATCAGGCTAGATAAATTAAGAAGCTAGCAGAATTAAAAATAATAATTTTATTAGGTTAGATAAATTAGAAGTTAGCAGAATTAAAAATATCAACTTTATCAGGTTAGATAAATTAGAAGGTAGCAGAATTAAATTGATGCAGAACTCATTATTAACTCTTTTAGATATATTGAATTTTATTAATATATATATATAAATATTAAATAATCTCATGTTATAGTTGGGCACAGTGAGATCTAGTCAGAATAGAACATAATCTGCAATTTAAAATTAAATAAATATTGTTTGATGTTTAGACAGCTTAGATCAATTTAGATCAATTTTTAGGAGTTTCAGCATTTGAGCTCAAGGGTCGTAGTTGAGAGGGTGGTCATCCTTTAGTGGTTAACTTAATAACCAGATTACATAGTATATGTATTTGTACATAGTGAGCAGGCTGCCATCAAGCACTGCCATATGAATTGTTGATCAAGAAAAATAGCTTATATCAACTTGTATCAACTTGGTGCAAGTTGAAATGCAATCCAAGTTGTGTTAAGTGTGGACAGGTAGGGGAACATGCAAGGCAACGGTGTGCCGAAGATGAGCAACTCAGGATAAGGGACTGAGGAGATATGAGGCTCTGAAGTCCAGAGTGAGGAACTGGGGAATTTAGGCATCTGACAGCAGTCATATATATACTAAAGAACAAAGGGAAATCCAAATGGAGACTGGGAACAATAAAAATGATGAAGGTAACCAAGTGGATCTGGGATCTGATCTGTGATCAGATGCAGATCCAGAGATCAGATGAATCTGCAGATGTATCTAGATAAGATGAAATAGAATGGGGATAGATCTAGACTACTTTGGGATGAGTCAGGTGATGTCACCTGATCATGTGAGGACACAGTCATGTGCAGTCATGTGGTCCAACCCCATATAGAAGTTGAGACATGTGATGGAAGTTTTAACACACCCCTGTGATTGAACATGTCTCAAAGTTATGAGTTCTTACATAAGTAAGACTTGTTCTTTCAACCTGGGATGCAGAGATCATTTTACTTTCCCACGTTATGGTCATCCATGCTTTTTTTCCCACAGTAAGTATTACATTGATGGCATAGCTACATTTTCAATAGTTCACTACATTTTTACTGGCTATTGTAGTAATGCTCTTCTTGCCCTCTGCAAAATCAAAATCACCAACCTCCCTTGCTCACTGCAGCCCTCTTTCACCCTTCCAACCTAACCCCTAGCACCATCCAACAACAAGCCCTGGTGCCCAAATGATCCTGGACTTCACAGTGCAGCACCATTCATGCTTGTTCAGCCACTGCTGCCTGCTCTACTCGCCCCATGACCACCTGCTCGCCCTCCTCACCCTCTGCCTCTTGCCCCTCTCAATAGGCCTCAAAAACAAAGAACGATGGTGAACCAACATGCCCCTTCTTGCCCTTCCCCCCTTGCTCTTGACTTCTGCCACCACCACCCCCTTTTCTTGCCCCTCTGACGCCCCTCACCCATCCCAATGGCCTTCAAGGACTCCAAAGGATGCCGAACAAAGAGGTTGGGTGATGTTCATGCTCATTCTGTGTTCCACCCACCTGCCCACCCAGCACCATCCACCTCTCACTTTCCACCCCTATTACTCCCCCTTCTTGCCCCTCTGACACCCCTCACCTGTTTCAATGGCTGCCAAATACAAGGAATGATGCCAAACATGGAGATTCAGTGGCGTTCACACTGGTTCTCTGCCCTGCCCACCCCGTATA